TGTATCCCAGTTATTTCCTATAAAATTTATCTATTTGGTACGTTTCTTTTTCATAAATTCAAGTAAATCTCTAGTGATACTGGTACATAGAATGAACATATGAACTAGTTACTCTATTAAGAGCACCATATAATATAGGGCTGAACTACGTTTCGCCACAATACGCCTTAGATTAGTTGAAGGAAAGACTAAAAGATAGTTGAATATGTATTGTTTGATAGTCGCTCATTCGTCCATGATAAGGACAAAAGTTGGTTGACGGTCATTGGAAAATAGTGACAAAAGTAACGTTCGAGTTAATTCCACACTTGCTGAATTGGATTGAGTTCAACTGTTTGTATTAACTGAAGTTACTATCATACTCTTGGTAATGATATTTAACAAACAAGCTCCTTGGATTATCTCAATATCATCTTGGAAGACCCTTTGTTCATTAACGTTGAAATAAAGCATTATGTAATAGGATAGATCAGAATTATCATTGTGGTACACTCTGGATGTTATATACCCTTCAAAAGAGATTGAAGAACCCATCCCATGTAAAAAGAATATATATGTTCCACACTATCACACCACTTCTAATACCTTGTACTGTTGGAGCAATACAAATAGAGTCAAATATTTCATGATATTTTCTCCACGCTTTTGCCCTATTATCAGCACTGAAAAGGGCATAAATGATCCTTCAGATCACATTACACATTTACAGTCGTTTATTATCAACAGCTTGTGTTGCTTTACCATAAAAGAGAGGTTGTTCTGTTTGCATTTGAGGTATTCGATGTTCGGGCTGATTTTCGATTGCCGTAGGACATTTTTAACAATATCCTTCTCATGATACAATTAAAGATGGTTGAATAATGATAATATTTGATCCAATCCTTCAGTTGGGTCACAAAGTATTGTCTATCAGTTACATATTATAGTGGTCAGCAGCTACAGTTATCCCAAGTGAAAAACGCTATCGTTATAATGATACTCATGCTAGACAAGCATCCACTATTTGCTCTATTTAAATCTCGCCCATAGTCCTACAGACTATCTGTATTTCTACACTTATTAGGCTCAGAGTATTACTTAACATATCACAGTCAGTCTCTTTTTTTATATATAGAATGTTTGTCGTATAAGTACTTTTTCTATGTCACAGTAACAAAGGTATTTTTAGTTGAGTTATATTATTTCTAGGAATCTGTAACTTTGCAAGTAATAGATACATGCAGAACTATAACGTTTGTGTACAGAAGATGCAAGTAACTATGGCACATATTTTATTTTTAGCTTTAGAATAAATGCAAGCTATATACATATCTACATACAACATAATACAAAGAAGTTGAGATAATAAGTATTATGGTGCAAATGCAATATTTTTCAACGCAGTTAAGCTACACAAAGAAACGAATTAGGTGTGACACTAATAACTTTTTACAAACCTGAAATTTTGTTTATTAATTTTTACTTTTGGCACTTCCGTACCAATAGCTTTATTACTGCAGGCCATTGTAAAATAAAGTCTACGATGTTTGTACTGGCGTATACTGCAGTTAAATTGACATAACACAAGATAATTGATTCAAACTACTTTATAGGACTGTAAATAAACACATCTCTAGTAGCATTTGCACATAGAAAATATACATAGATCCAGTGAAACCTTTCATAGCAAAATATTCTCTATCTGTGGTGATACTTACAGTCGAGAAACTAGTAAATAACTGAAGCTTTTATCCTTTGCAGTTACATAAGTGTAAAATGAGTTTTGTGCATGTGAGTTCAGTCTAGTTTTAAATTTTTATTCTTAAATGTGTTTTTATCGAAATTTAGAAGGTCATAATTTACGATTTGTGTAATTATGATGCCTTTGTGTTTAAAACGTGTTTTTTTTCCAAAATTAAAAAAAAAAGTTTTTATCTTTTTCTTCTACGTTTTGCAAATGTAAGCCTTAAATGGTAAGTCGATACTATAGAAATATATATTATTTTGCATACTCTATAAGAAATTAATGAATTCATTTGAAGTAGGCTCTTTTTTTTTCTATTTGTACGGGCAAAAGTAGTTTCAAACGCATAAAGTTTTCAAATGATTTACAGATTAACTTTCACGTTTAAAGTAATATAATGAACATTTATTTAATGTTAATAAAGTCCCCAGTAGGTGTTACTAAAAGCTGTAACAGAAATTTCAGTGAAAGGTATTCAAATTAATTAGAACATACATCTATTTCAACAAAAGTTCATCTCCTAATACACAATCGTACGTTATAAAATCTCATTTTTTAATTACTTACAGTCATGTTGTGACTATCTTATAACAATCGTTGTCATGGATAGTTGCCCATACAGTCGTCTATGTCTAATTATTAATTACTGAAAATAGTTTTATTACTTGATACTAATCATCAATTAGTTGTTGTTTTTATTACGTTTCGGCCTTAGCCAGCTGCCATCTTCAGCATAGGTTATTTTAACTTGCAACTATGCACAGATTGTGCAATTATAAAAGTTATTCGTGCAGTGATAAAATGTTATCACTGCTTAGTGCCTAAGAATATAAAGATTCAACATTGCTCAGCGCACATAATTATTTTATATCAATTATTATTATTATTACGATATCAGAAAAATCATTTATATTACTTGAAGAGCTCAAAAGTGAATAAAAATGTTCACTACTAGAAAATGCTTAAATTATCTTCGAGTTTTGTCAACGAAAAAAATTATAAATTAAAAATTTTCTACCAGATTCTCCCTTTATTTCACCGCCTGGGCCATCAGGGTATGGGTGCATTGACTAATTTTGCCTAAAATAACCACTCGCCTCCGATGAGGTTTTGGGAAAGACATTTCTATGTTTAGAGGTGGTGACCGGGATTCGATCCTCGGAGTCATAATAAAGGGGCTGTTGTTCTATTCATTCGTCTCCCCCATCAAGCCTTTAATCAATTAACTAATTCGATTGTTTTAAACAATGGTGTCCAGAAATTACCAAATTCTGTGGTATGTTGACCTAGTATAAGTTGGGTAGATGAAGAAGGGTTCCTTTTATCTCTGTTTTTTTTTTCTCGATGTAATGATTCATAACCCAATTTATCATACAGTCAGTAGGAAAGGTTCATCAGAATTAAGTGAGAGTTTTCGACCAAATGACTACCTTTGAAATGCCAATGTTTTCCAACAGCTCTATGAAACAGTCAAATAGAGCACCCTGGTATGCTTCACCACATATCGACGTTGGCAATGTTAACACTGGCGAAATTTTCCTTTAGCAGTATAGTGCTATTAGTACAAATTTCGAAGTTTATTGACACACTGCTGGCAAAGTGGATAGTACTTTGGAATTGTAGTCAAAAGGTTTGCTCGTGACATGTTGTTGTGTCCTTGAATAAGATGATTTGCCCCATTTGTCTTAGTCTACTCAGCTGCATAGTGGGTTTCAGAGGGTAGCTGGGGTTAATCTGCGATAGGCTGGCATTCCGTCCAGAAGGATGGTGTCACAATTCTCATCGGCTTGTACCATTGAAACCGAAGTTCAGCGCTGGCTCTAACGTTTCGTTTCGAAATGGGATAGATTTAACTTAACTGATCTCAGTTTCATTATGATAATTGGTCAAAGATGTAAACCGCCGCTGCTTTTGCCTAGTAAATAGTTGAGTCACATAACCCTTTATTTCGGAAACTTTGGAAGTGGGCGGTCTGATCTAATTGCATAAGCATCAGATCAGTTGAAAGTTTGTGGGACTTATTAGTCACACCACCATAAAAAAAAACGCTTTTGTTTCCTCTTTATGAGGACCAATATTTTTCGCACCATGTTTTGGACGCCATCTAGGTGCAAATTCGTCTGTATCTTCAAAGTTCGAAATATCAATTATGCTAATAAGATCAATCTACCTATTTGTTGTAGGGAGCTTGTAACATTTTTAATGGCCCTGTGGTTTCTATAATGGTCATCTTTTCTGTACACTACTTTTTATCCATTCCTTAAGCATGTATTTCACCGAAATATTTGCATTTATTAACAAAAAATAGCGATTATCGCCCTCTCCTCACGCCTCTCTGGCTCAGCGGTAAGTCTTAAGGCTTATAACGCTAACCGTTGTGGTTTCAATGCTCACTATGGGCACAGCACAGATACCTTATTGTGTAGCTCTATGTTTAATAACAAGCAGTACTGATTACTCAAGTCTTATGTTTGTGTTGTACGCGCTTGTACAAGTAATGTCAACATTACTGAAACTTGGACTGCACAAATTATTTTTAAGATAAAGTCAAGATGAAGAAATATATCAAACACTTTGACACCAAACTGTTCCTGGTTACAGAACCAGAAAAGTTTAATCAATGCGGCATTGAAATATTCCAGGACCCAGAATATATATATTGTTTGTGTTGAATTTTGCGCAAAGCTACACGAGGGCTATCTGCACTAGCCATCCCTAATTTAGCAGTGTAAGACTAGAGGGAAGGCAGCTAATCATCACCACCCACCGCCAACTCTTGGGCTACTCTTTTACCAACGAATAGAGGGATTGACCTTCACATTATAACGCCCTCACGGCTGAAAGGGCGAACATGTTCGGTGTGACGGGGATTTGAACCCACGACCCGCAGATTGCGAGTCGAACGCCCTAGCCACCTGGCCATGCTGGGCCTGTACAGGGCTTTGATTTTCGCATTAGATACAGTGCAGACAGTCCATTGTGTAGCTTTGCACTAAAACAAACCAAATATTGCTTGAGCAGCTGCATCTCCTATCATACAACACAAAAAAATTATTTTAATGAATGCTTTAAAATTTTTTAAGGTGATTGGGTTAGATTTGTTAAATCTCTACAAAATAAAAACAATTTCTTATCTCAATATTTAAAAATATACACAAAATTTCAAATAAATGTACAGTTTATAAAATGTTACAAGTGGGCAATCTCAGTGTCGTCAGCCTTATAAGATAATATTCACATGAAAAATAGATAAAAATAAATGCATTCTGACAAAATATATCACCCAAAAATTTTATTTCTGAATATGGGGGGTACCATATCACTAAAAATGTCCTTGTACAAAATGTATATTTACAGAAAATCAAAGTAATACACCATTTAAACATTGGAATTGAAAGCCGTTGTAATAAATTAAGACAAACTACTTAATTCACACTATTTTTACATTAAAATTTATAAATATATGGTTAAAACACTAGTTATGATAAGTTTGGTTAAAATAACCCTGTAAATAGTCCGTAGACACCCCGACTACTTCACTTTCTATTGGCTTTCATGGAAAGGTTTATTGAAAGTTATGTATAGATTACTTACGTCTCATGCAGTTTTGTTACATAAAGAGTATCCCTTAACCTCATCTAATGCTTACATTCTCAATGGATTGTTCAATCAGTTACTCCCTTATCCAATCTGTTATTTCCACTAAAACCAAAAGACTAACATAATAATGTCTACCAAAAGGACTACAATTCAACCACAAGCTCAAATAATATTGTATATCGACTTTTATGGTGTTTAGGTTATCTAGTGAATAAAGATAATTAAGATATATAGATATATATATATATATGAGAAAACATGGCTGAAAGCAAAGTGATCAATCTAGGCAGTAAAAATACATATTCCATATAATGAGAGAAACTATAACCACTATAGCGTGCACTTGGACTAAATATATACTGCAGCTTTGAATGATGCTACTTTATTGTGGTTGGGTAGTTTATTATAAAAAGGTTGGTCCCTTAAGAGTTGATAAACTGACATACAATTCTGATAAACCCATCTAGTGGAAAGCCTAATATGCATACTCAATTACATACACTATCAATGAACTTCTCTTTGGTATCCTCACCAACCAGTCTGTGCAATGTTTGTAGATATATCCTTGCTAATCAGTCAACCAGCTGAGGAAAAGAATGTACAAAAATCTTCAAAGCCCAGATCATCCAGTGTGAGGTCAGTAAAAACATTTTCTAATTTTATCAACCAATAACAACTCACTCTCTACTGCTATCTTGAAATCTATCCAGAAAATATTTTATATAATCTTAAACTAAACTACCTCAATCATTATATTACTCCTATTTATTTCAGACTATTTTAATCAAATCATCGGAAGAACTGCTGATTTGCTGACTGCAATGGAATAGTCAAACTAGACACTAACCAAGTCTATGGACACAAAGTGAATGAAGCTATAAAATCCTAGCTCATCTTCACTTTAACAAACCACACTCATTCTTTCATCAGTAATAATGATACATTTATTTAAATTAAGTCCTTCCAGTTCAACCATCATATTCCCCATTTCAGATACACCTCTTTTTTTTGTGGAATTTAGATTAGATAAACAAGAGTGTGATTTATCAGAACTAGAAACCACCTCCTTTTCAATGATCCCATTCCTTTGGTGGTGGGCCATGGGAAGCAGATGTGTCTGACATGAAAATGTTCCCTCTACAACTTCAGCAGTTACCGATTCTTTTGACTGCATCTCTCTTGAATGGTTAGAAATGTCTTTACTGAACTCTGATGGTACATCAGAAACCTCAGTATTTGCTTCATCCATCGATGATCTCCTTGATAAATCTTTCTCAGTATTCTCTGGGTCACAAAACTTCTTAATCCAAGAGTGACATAGCGATTCTTTGGCCGTCATTCGTTCACTGTATGACAAGAGATTTGTTTCACTACCAATAACATCAAAGTACATGATTTTTTCACTATTTCCTTAATAGCAAGGTCTTTAAAACACCCATTTAACTGTTGGTTTGAGCTCTATGATAACTCAACTCAGGATACCCGGTTTTAATTCAATTTTTCTAAAATAACAATGTTTTGTACCTAAATTTTGATATTTATTTTCTCAGCTTTCAATCCTAAAGTGATACCTTCCCATTTTTGATTCTCTATTTCCCTTTTTATGCATACTTAATTAAACATTATTATGCATTAAAAACCTTGCTGTTTTTGAATTTTTGTCAATGTAAACCATGCATTCCATGGAAGTTTTAGGGTTCTCTAGTTAACATCACATACCTTAAATTTTAAACTTATAGCTCAGATTACTGTTATTAACCTTTTCTCTAATCAACAAAATTTTAAAAATTAATATTGCTTCAATTTTATAATTTAAAAACAATTAAGTCCTTTCTTTATCAAAATTAAAAATAATCTAATTAAATCTTGTGGTTAAACCTCTATCATAGCAAAATGTTTTAAATAAAATTTCATCCTGTGGCCTAAAATTAAGTAAAATAAACTAAACAATGAAAAAAAGTGTTTGCTTACAGTTACCTTGCAATCACCTGGTTAATAGAAGCCTTTAAATGTAAAGCATTCAAAAGTTATCTTCTTTATAGGTAACTACAAAGAAGCTTGTAATTGCTTTATTAGCATTTCATGCAGTGGAAGGTATCAGTTTATTGTCCAAGCACTTACCTTGGTTCAGTAATTAATAACCTCTGAATGAAATCTTTAGCATCGTTTGACACACCACAAAATATTTCTTCTGGAAACTCCAATATACCACTAGTGATATTCCAAAATGTTTCTTGCTTGGTCTCTCCACCAAAGGGAGTGTGACCTGAGAGAAGAACATAAGCCAGGACACCTATGCTCCTAAAAATGCAAAGGAAAATTTATCTTAACAAATTTTTTTCACTGATGCATAAGTATGGTAAAACTTTCATGACTGGACGTAGTAAGAAAAGACCTGACAACTTAAATAAAATAACTTGTACAGTTAAACTTAATCATCTTTTTAAAAAATAAAAATGTCATAATTTGTGAAATTATAGGATTTCAGAGAATAATAATCCCAGTGAATTATTAAGATGTTTTAACAAAACAGATTCTACTGAAAACATATCTTCCAGTTTAAATCACACAATTTAATTACACATAGAAACAACTCTTTTCTATATTGAAATCCATAGGGCTCTGAACTGTTGTGAACTTTTAAAAACAAATTATAGTAACATAAACCAAACAAAGGGTTATGTCTATATGTTACTGTCTAAAATAATGCTTTAGCAACTGAACATGCTCTGTATCCATAAAAAGGTTTATGGTAAACAGAATATATTTTGTTTTTTAAAACTAATGTTATATAGTGTTTAAAATTTTTCAACCAGAATTTTAAATCTGAATAATCTTTCCAGACCTCAAACATTAGCAAGAAACAAATTTTTGAAATTCTCAAATATATCAACGATGAATTTCTACAGGAATGACAAATGGTCTAAGTAAATATACTGTAATCTTATGCATGCTTCACTTTTACTTTAAAGTTAATTAACCATAACATCAAATTTCATTTCTCTTTGTATACAGTGATTACTAAATATTTAGAAATAACAATCAACTGATAAAACTTTCATCAATTATTATTCACTCATTTTAATGCAATGGATATATTACAGTTTATAATAACACACAAGTGATAGGGAAGTATGTGAAAACACACATCTTAAAATTTATATTATATAAGCTAAGCATGATTCACTATAAGACAAAGTACACAGTAGTGAGTAAATAAATTTTAAATTGCAGGCAAAATATTTTTATACATACCACATATCAGTAGCTAAAGAAATTGGTTCATACTGAAGAATTTCTGGTGCTAAAATCAAACACATTAACATAATTAGAATTAACACAATAGTCTTAATTCACACATCTTTTAACTATATTTGAACAATATAGTTTTAGAATAATCTCTGAATGAAATGAATTACACTAACTTTCACAAAAACAAAAATCTTTAGGATTCAAGAATGTATAAAATTAAAAACATATACTAAGTATTACAGTAGGTTTTCTGGCAACTAGTCACTAATAAGGTCAAGCTAGTCATCACAAAATAAAAGCATGAAATGAAAAAATTAACTAAAAATAATGTAAAAATGTATGCAAAGCATTTCCTCTTTCAAAGTTTCTGTAACACTGTAAATCTTAGATATAATTATTAATGTATGCTTTCAATCTCGTAAGGTTTTTGCAATTCAAACTACAATATTTCTAGTTAAAGATTATTTAACAAGTTTAAAATGAGACTTCATCATATTTGACAAATGAATTCAATTAATTAAAACTGCAAAAATGTCAGCAAAATATATATATGAAAGATGGTTCTTAATTATTCCTTTGGATTAAACTACCTTGAATTTTTCAGAACTATATTGAAATTGTACCTTTATGTGTAATGTAAACTGCAAAATTAAATAACATTTTTATATTGTATTAAAGAGTAGCATCTAACGAAACAAAGCAACTGTTCAATTTATTTTAGAAGAGCAAAAGACTCAAATTTTATTGATATTGCTAATGATTAGAATCAGACAAACCAATTTTCATGAAATGATTTCTCCATTACTTCTTACTTAGGTTGGCCTATTTTTTCAATCAAATGTAGCTTTACTTAGCAATAACTAGATAAAATTTCAAGAGCTTCTTTCTTTCTTAATAATTTATTACAATTCCACCATTTATACAATGAACTTTATCTATTACTAAACATACACCAAAATATTGAGTAATTTCACCTTATACATAGATTATTTTGATTTACTTTAAATTAACTGTATGCTATTTTTTTCCAATTAATAGATTATTGAGTATTATAACAGCTGTATGCTTACTAGCTAAAAAAAACACAATTTTGACAAGTTCAGGCCTTTTACAAGCTGGTGAAGCATCATTTTAACTATACATGTCATAAGACATTAGTATTAGGCCTATTATACTTTTAAACACTACATTCTTTATCTAGTCCCTTAGATACTTCCAAGAATTAGAAGAACGTATAATGATAATATTATTATTCCAACCATAATATATTCCCCATATCCATTGCCGACAATGCAGTTTGCTCAATACAGAGCTCTTTAGTCCAGTTGGGGTTCACACCATAGCAGTTGTTGTTGTAACAAATGGCTTGCGTAAGTAGTGTCCGGTACACTGCTGTGATTGTTTTATCCCAGCTAGCCTGAAGAGCTCTTGATTGAGCAAAATGCGTCGACAGCAATGGATATGGTGAATATAGAGTTGTTAGAAAACTAATATTATACACTCTTCTAATTCTAGAAAATCCCTAAGGGACTAGACAAAGAAGATAGTATTTAGAAATGTAATAGGCCTAATACTAATATCTTATGATAAGTATAAGCTAAGTTGTTGTTAATTTAGTTTAAAACTTACTCTTTATTCTAACAAATACATGCAATTATCTTTCTTCAACTCAAAAACAAAATCATTTTAAAATGCCCTAAATATAGTAACATCTGAATAAGTTTGATGCCTTTAAACTTAACCGTTCTTCAGTTATAACAACCAATTCACTGTGTCCAAGGATGCCCAAAAATCTTAATTCTAAAGCATTGGCTGTGTAACCCATTCTATTTTGATGTTACTCTGTTTATAATGACCTAAGTGATGCAAAGAACTAAAAATCTTTATACATATAAACTTTTATATAAATTTCAAATCCGAGTATTTTTTTATTTTTTTTCAATACGCTGTGTTGCTAACAGATATTGACATAAAATAAAAACTGTGTAGATGTAACTCTCAACATGGTTATCGGCAATGTTGGTCGTTCTGGAAAAATAAAAAGCATCATTCCAAATGTTAAAATAAGTAAGAATGACTTATTAGTTAACATTACAGAATACTTCAACATACAAACATAATCAGGTGTTCCAAGGATCTCTCGAATTTCACTTCCTTTTAAAATAAGCCGAGAAATTCCAAAGTCGCACAATTTCACATCATACTGTGGTAAGGCACTTGTAAGAAGCAAATTTTGTGGCTGAAATTGAAGAAGGACAATGTTATAATTAAACATGGCATTCGTAATAATTGGAAATATTGCTAATTCTTATATCTACAGAGCTTCAGCGTTATTTGTAGTTCCAGAAAAACCATAAACAATAACTCATCTCGGTAATATCTGAATCGTTGTATTATGTTTATGGATGAATTGTGGAGTTCTTCTTAGACTGTATCTGTATTAACACATTTTCGAAGGAAAATCTATTTTTATACGTTCTGTGGTTTAACTCGCTTTGTAATAAGAAACTATATTAACGCCATGCAAATTAATAATAACAGTTGAACGATTCAAACTGTTTCAATTCATCAATAAACAAGTGTAACACAGGAAGTATACTGCTCAATAGAAACAACGTATGTCAAGTTTTATTAAGCCTGTAAGCCCTAACCCTTAAGTTCACATTCCAAAATGAGGGCCATGCCATATGATCCATCTCGTACGTAAATGTGACCATAACAGAAACAAGGCCTTCATTGACTAAACGCTTCGGGGGGAGAAAAAAAGAAAAAAAAAACAGCTTCCGTCCGTTCTTGCTAAGCTTCCTGTATCACGTGATATACAAGACAAGTGACGTAGTGGAATGAAACAGGATTGAAAAACTAATGTACGAGCTTGATCATTCCAGCATCTTACTTTTTATGTGCACAAAAAATTCCTGGAATGGTATGAAATAAATTATTTTAAGACTGAAGAATTGGCGTATCTTAGTCAAAGAAATAATAACAATAATGTGCCATTTTGATTTTATTTATGGTGCACATATAAATGTCGTCACTTCAAGGGTTAAACAAAAATATTAACTCTTAAAATGTTGGAAAAATATATATATATGATCGTCAGTTGTAATTAACAAAATCTAATTTCAACCTACTTTTTTAAAAATTTACAATATCACAGTTCAGTCCCTGCTGTATGTCACAAATCCAATAATTCCGAGTTTCGTAATGCAGTTAAAAAACAATGTGTTTACGGAGTCAACTAGAAAACTTAAATAAATTAAACATGTTTCACGTTTTAATATATATATATATATATATATATACCGAAAATGTCCAATAAATGCTTAAAACTAAAATAGAACAAATTCATAAACTGCACAGATTATCAACAATATGACTGTTATGTCGGTTGAGTGGAATTCTGTAGTGCACGATCATATTAGACAAACGTTCCTTATGGTGTTTGTTTTAGCCCGTTCTGTGTAAAGAGGACATGACGAGTACGAAGGGTTAAGGATTATTTTTGAAATTAGTGACAGACGAGTACTTAGAAAGTATGTCACGAAGGAAGGGCGGTCACTACGGCACCACTTCGACGCTTTTTTTTTTTTTTTGATGATGCTGTTTGAGGAGTTTCATGCAAAGGTACTCGTGGGCTATCTGACCTAGCTGTTCCTAATTTTGAAAAGATGAAGGCAGCTAGTCACACCCATCCAACGCCAACTTGTGGGTTATTCTAATCGAATAGTAGGATTTGACCACCACTCTTATAACGCAACTATGGCCCCAAAGTGTGAGAGCGTGAAGGCGTAAATGATTTATTTATTTTTGTGCCTCGAATCTACAGTCCGGCACGCTAACCATTGGTCGCGCTGAGCCCTCGACCCTTTCTTTTTTTTTATGACATCGTAATCGTATACTTGTACTAGAAATTCGTAAAATAGTATTAGGATTTCTTTTAATGATTTATGTTATCTTTTAAGTATATGAACGAATATGATGTTTTCGAAAATTACGTAAATACAGTTTTAGGCTTTTGTGAATGAAGTTTGTATAATCTAAAACTAGAAAACTGATATGATAGTACGAAGATCTGCTAACAGTAATAATTTGGGTTCATTAACTTGCATGAACTAAAACAGCCATTAAGTGTTAATCTTAAACTTTCCTCTAACAAAAAGCACCAAAAGTTGAGTTGCTAATTTTATGGCAACATAACACAAAACCATCTACAAAGTAATAACAATGTTGTATTTGGAGAACACACCGAGTCCTAAAATAAAAAAAAGCATAGTTGAATAAACTCGATAACCTGAAAGCCTTCGTATGAAGATTATCGGAAATTAATAATGAAAAAAAAAAGAAGAAAGATATCAGGATTCTAGTGTTCCTTTAATTTTGCTAAAAAATATTTTTTTCCTAACCAAAAATTCTAGCACTATTCCGTAACTAAGCACACCTAGCTAACAAATTAATAAAAATAATTTTTTCTTAAATGTTTATAGAGTTTATTTACTTACTAACTGAAATAACAACAAACAAAATGTTTAACGAGGTACAAGCGTAATAATTTCAACGTGTTTTTTTTTCATAGTGGAAAAAAATAAGCAAAAACATTGATATAATTTTTGTTGTGACTTAGATGAGAGGTTACAAGGATGTTATGCCAAGACACAACCGATATCAAATAAATGCAGTTAATCTTCTAAAATTATTTTGTTTTTTCTCCATTTTTAACACTAACAATTCAGCAAACTTATATAAAGGAGTGATCTTAATTACTGTTTCACTAGAAAAATCCTTTAAATTTTAAGTAATAGTTTATTTATTTCAGATTTTCAGCGCTAGGCTACGGAAATGGCTATCTACGCATAGTGCTTCCTAGCTGTGAACTTATAAAGCAGAGTAAAGGCAGCTTGTCAATAACATCAACCGCCAACTCGTCTAAGTGAATAGTTAAATTTAACTGGCGCTCTTCAGACCAAAAGTGCATGACGCGTTTTTACGGAAACGGGCCACTAAGTGATAAAGATATTTACGTTTGTTTATAAAAGTTAGCACTCGATTTAAGATCCCATTGCAACAACTCAATGTAAGGCCATATGTCAATTAGCTGTGCAATGAAATACTTTATCGTTGACACCTCCACTTTAAATGAGTGCTTTAACCATAGAATTGCCAATATGGACGTACATCAGATTTAAAAAAAAAACAAAAACTATTTATGCAAAAATTGCTAATGTGTCCATCACTTTGTTGGTTATAGGGATCCTAATACCCTACAAGTAACACACAAAAATGTCAATAAAACTACCGTCAATATTTCAATTAATCCTAAAAATTACTGCCGAATTCCCTTACGTGCTTTACACAAAAATAAGTGACGTCACACAAAGGCTTTGGTCAGTTCTTTACACTGCGGGCCCGGCATGGCCAGGTGGTTAAGGCGCTCGACTTGCAATCTGAGGGTCGCGGGTTCGAATCTCCGTTACACCAAACATGCTCGCCCTTTCAGCCGTGGGGGCGTTATAATGTGACGGCCAATCCCAAGAGTTGGCGGTGGGTGGTGAAGACTAGCTGCCTTCCCTCTAGTCTTACACTACTAAATTAGGGACGGCTAGCGCACATAGCCCTCGTGTAGCTTTGCGCGTAATTAAAAAAACAAACAAACCAACTTTACACCACATGTTATGATAAGCAAGAACTTCGGGTTTAATCAACGATAAAATCCGCTGCTAGTAATTCATACGACGTGAATTAAAAAGCAACATCTTTAATCATAAGTCCTGATATGGTTCAAATGCTTTCATGGAATGGAAACAGAAATATTAAGGTGTATAAAATAAGTCTATTAATAAACAGTTATGATGGTGTAGGTTCACTCTACCTTGATATCTAAGTGTGCAATATTATTATGATGCAAGAAAGCCACGCCTTCTAAAATCTGTCGCATCAGACGAGCTGCTTCCATTTCAGCGATGACTTCTTGGTCTTCCAAAACCCTTTGTAGCTCACCACCTGCTGCCCTAATAAAAACAAACAAAAGATTAAAATGCATTACTATCGCAATATTTTGGAGACTAAGTAAACTTATTTAACTAACCTATCTTGTATTACTACAGTTATTCTACAAATGTTAAAATCCAAAGAATGAGCCATTATAAAAGGTAAGTCCAATTTGTTTTTATGACATGTCGTTAGTATCCGTACTTACAGTTCCAACACGAGATTTACTTCAGTTGCTGTTTCGTAGACTTCGTGAAGGTGGATGATATGCGGACAATTTTCACTCAATTTTAACACATACATTTCGTGCATGATTTCATGACGTATATCGGCTGCACGACGTCGTTTCCGGATACATTTTGCTGCATATTCAATACCAGTTTCTTTGTGCTTGCAGCGACGTACAGTGGCAAATTTTCCCCTAAAGAATGGTAAAAATAGATTAAGTCGCTAACGTGTCGAAGTACATATTTTTGTTTTCTACAGTACCTTAGATTTAACTGGTCTAAGGAAACAGCATGCGATCATAATAAGATTGTCTAGTTTTCATGAGCACACAAGTATTTATTTAATAGGGATGCAAAAAGCATAATAGTTGGAGGATGAATATAGTTATATCTGTTTCATATATTGTTAAGTGCAAAAATACATTCATGACACAATTTTGCTGATTTAAGTCATTTGTAATTCTTAAAATGCATATCAGTTGTATATTATGGTCAGGTAAAAATTACATGCATGTGTTCTGTTTGCATACAAATACGTATATAGAAACTTGTCTACCTAATAAGTAATGCTAAGCACAACTTCGAGGACAAATCGACTGTGCCAGTTATTTATCCTCATTTAACATTCTTTAATAGTTGAACATTTCAATGTCAAATAACAATTATATTACATGTAAACAGTACCACTATTCATACACTATAGTCAATTAATTCATTTATGTAACTTAGTTATTTATATTCAGAGTATCATCAAAATCAATATGAAAAATTTAAAAAAGAAAAATGTGTATTTTTTTTAAATTCATAATAAAATAATTACTGCTTGGGTCAATAAAAGGCTAATGGTTGCCAGGCAAATATCTAAATCAATAATGAACTATGTAATAAAAATCGCGTAAACTACACATTTGTTTTTCCACATTACTCTTAATTTGTCCATTCCTGATTTCAAACCAGAGGTGTGTAAAATAGTATTTCAGAACTATCTTTCATCTTCCCCACAAGTCACTGGGAAAAAACACACTTGCAGTCTTTTCGTGATTTATTTTATTATAAATATTAGGCCTATTGGTTTATAATGCTTCGCCACCTTTCGTCGTTAAAACCGAACTTTTAAAGTGACATCTCTTCCTCTTTTTATTTGTTGCTTTGAGCAATAAAAAAAACAAACAAACTGGCATGTCTTCCTCCGTGTCAATTCCCTTCTTTCACAGGGAAGATTCACTTTTTTTTTGTTTCCAGGGGCGCATTTTCTCTGGTATTTCTGTAATTGGACCGGTTTTTTCTATCCAACTCACTTTTTATGAAGTTTCGGCTGATGTGTAAGCGGTTATGTTCTTAGACATTTCAAAATAGCAATCAGCGGAAAAAACGCAAATCACACAAGTTTTACTGGGATTGCAATTGTTTGCGGGTAAGCGGTATTAATTGAATAAATAATAGAAAATCTTGCGACAAGAAAATTAATAAATGTATTATGTCCTCAATTAAAAGTAGATATTTCCATTTCAGAAACTAAAAAAAATGTATTATTTTCTAAACTAATTTCGATCTAATCAAGCAGGTGGTAGCACTGCCTACATAAGGATGGCTCCAACTGTTCATCGAAATGGTATTTTAAATATCTCCTCAATAGGTCATCAGAACTTTACAATACCAAATAATGTTTCGTTTTATAGCAACATATATATATATATATATATATATATATATACATATAATAGAATAAAAGTTAGTAATTTCTTTCTTTTCTTATTTAAGTAATAACAAAAACCAAAACAATAGTAAAGACTACTTAGTACTATTAGA